CTGTAAGGCGCTGTCAGGACAGCAGGGAGGACTGTTCCCTGGGTCTCCGTGGAAATGCAGGGTGTGGCGGGCAGCGAGCAGCCGGTGCGGTGCCCTGCGGCCCCGAGCCCCGGGCGCAGCGGGGAGAGCCGGGTGGAGGCGCCACCGCGAGCGTGGTGTCGGGTTACAGCTGCAGAATAGCGCCCGAGCGCGCCTAACTGGCTTCATCTAGTGCCTGGCTTCATAATTACATTGCTGATTTGTTAGGGAAGGCTTTGTCTTACTTACCAATTAGCATGGATGTTACTGCAGGAACCTCATCCTGGATGAGCTTTGGTTTTTGTTTTGTTTTGTTTTGTTTTGTTTAAAAAAAAAAAAAAAAACCTTTCCCGAGGCAGGCAACTTTAGGGGTTCTGTTACTAACACTCCCCGCTGTCTTCTGGGAGTCCTTACCCAGTCTGTAAATAAGCAGACAGGCTTTCTCCCCGTTGGAATTTTGCCCCTGTTTCTGCCATTCCCCGAGGCCAGAGGCAGTCACTTTGGGGTCTGAAGGCAGCCTTTGGGAGGGCTGATTCCACATTCCCCCCTTCCTGCACCCTCCTGATCTCCCCCACCCACGCCACCACCCACTCCCGCATTCGAGGGTCTGTCCCCACTGCGAGCAGCAGCGTGGCACGTGGCACAGCCGTGGGTGGTGAGTCTTTGGAGGACTGGGCCTGTTTCTGTTCGCTGTTTCTGTGATCCTGCCCCCCCAACCCCCAACCCCCCCACCTAGTACGTCCTTTTCAGGGTGGCCTTTTTGTTCTCCGGGTGTGTTTTGTTGTTACTTGGGGGAGGGAGGGTGTTAGAAGCGTAGACATTATCAGATTTCTGAGCCCTGTGTGTTTTTTAAGGTGTAATATTTTAACAGTATAGAAAGTTGTCTAAGCAAATGTGGCTTCCCCCAGCTGAAGTTGGATCGGGCTTTTCCTTCCTGCCTGGGAGTTGCTGTGTGACAGTCTGACAGTGGGAAGAACCATTTCTCAGAGTTCTGCTCTGTGGCTGGTGGGAGGTGTCCTCTCTTAGGCACAGAAGCTCTCTGTTTGGACCACCTCAAAAACAGGATCCAGAATGCATCTTAAGGCAAGTACATGGGGTGCGGAGAAGAGAAATGAGAGTATTCCGTGTCTCAGAAGTTGTCTCAGAGCCAGTTCTCTGGCCGGCCTCTCTCTGGGTCTTGGAAGTCTGTCACACACACAATAATTTTGCCAGGGGTACTCCTTCCTTCTACCACTACCCCCAAAAGAAACTGAAAGAATGTGTGTGTTTCCACTTAAAGGGCTGTGGGTTTTGGCAGGACAGGATGTCAGATGAGGAAATAGCCCCTGCTAACCTTTTCGAAGACACTTGTCATACATTTTCTCTTAGCTTCTTTTTTCTTCAAATGAGGTTGATGCATGAGGACAAACCATTGTTCTGAATTTTTGGCATCGCTGTAAACATCTCATTTTTATGATTTTTAGTGTCAGCATGGGTAGTTCTGTGCCCTTCAGCAGCCAGTGGTCACCTTGAAGGATGTAGTTGAAGAGATTAGGGATATGGCTTCCCCAAGCTCCCCTTTGAACTGGGAGCCTTTATCTTGAGAGCTAATACCTAGTGTTTTTAAAACATTTTTATTAAAGTACAGCATGCACACAGACACGTGCATAGATCCTAAGTGTATACAGGCCGCTGACCAGCTCCCCAGAAGCCGTGCCCCCCCGTAGCTACCCTTCCCTGACTGCAGACACCATGGCTTCACTCTGCCTCGTTAACTGACTTTTAAAACATGTCACTTAATCGTGAAGCCTGTTACACTCCCGAGAAGGGAAAACAGTGGCTTTCTAGTTTTTATTTACTGGTACAAAAGGACACTGGAACAGGCTCTTGAAAATGTACACAAGCTATGAACCAGTTGGGCCTTGAGGTGTTTTGAAGTAATGATTTACATCCTTTTGTGACCAGCACATAGAAAGCCAGAAAGTCAGCCCTCACGGTGGGCTGAGGAGGCTTCCCATTCAGACCCCCACAGGAGCCAGCAGGGATGCTGCCCACAAGAGTAGCGCTACCCCCCGCGGGCCTGTCTGTGGGAGGCCACAGAGGGCTGTGGAGAGCCTGCAGGTTAAAGCAGTGGGTTGTGGCGGGAGGGGGAGATGACAGAAGTAGTAGTTTGCAAACGTAGATTTAATATTCTTACTTTAAATATAACACTTATTTTTGACAGTTGAAATAGCATTAAAGGAGAGAGGGTTTTTTTAAGGCATAGCTTTTAAAAAGTTGAAAAACATTGAGTTAAAGAGAACTTTCTGATTGGTTTTTTTTTTTAAAGTTTGCATTTTTTCCTTAATGCCTTAACAGTATAAAAGCTATGAAATGTTAGCCTTTTAACGCTTAGGTAACACATAGGTACTGTTTCAGTTCCTTTGTGGACGCTGGGCTTAAGGCCTCACTACCTTGCACCCTAAGATACTAGCAAGAAGAATCTGGGTCCCACTGAGCCAGTGGGATCTGATGTATCAGGCTGAGAAGCTGGGCTTTACCATTAAAATTGAGCTGAAGACACCTTAATTCTGCAGAGAGCTTTTTTTTTTTAATGTCAGTTGTCAGTTGCCATTGCAAAAACTCTGTTCATTTCTTTCTTTTTTTTTTTTCCTTACTTGCTTAGACACAAATAGAGAAGACCTTTGGACCCAAGATTAATTGGGTAAAAATATCCACAGGCTTAAACACGAAATGGCCGGATGGGGAAAAGAGGAAGTTGTGGTTCTCAAAATAGGGTCCCCACACCAGTATTACCTGGAAACCTGGAAATGCCTTCTCGGGTCCCATGCTAGACCTGCTGAATGAGAATCTTGGGGGTAGGGGGCCAGCATTCTGTGTTAGAAGCCCTTGAGGTGAGTCGGGTACTCGCCCAAGTCTGAGAAGTGTGACAGGCATTCACGAGACAGCCTTCTGAGCTCAGGCTTCCCTGCCCACCGGATGTGCCTCAGTCCCATCACTTTGCCTTAAGGATGTCCCGCCCTTACAGCTGTCACCTCTGAGGTCTGTTCAGTTCTCCTCTTTCTCAGACCCTCCCTCCCATGCACAGTTCACACTCAGGGACAAGGACACACACATCTCTGTGTCTTACGGTTCCCTGGCTGTCCCTCAGAGTCTTTCCTCATTCTTTCCATTTACCATTCATTTAGTCAGCAACTATTTATGGGGCATCTTCTGTGTGTCCGGGACTGCCCTGTCCTGAGGATACAGAGATGAATGAGACAGAGTGTGCCCTCACCGGGCTTACCGTCTGGATTAGGAAACAGGCCTTAGGAGACAATCCCACCTTAAATTTAAATCCTCAAATCCTATCTCCAAAAGTCTCTCCTGATCACCCCAGCCCATAATAACCTCTCAGACGCCTTGCTATGGGGAGTCACTCAGAATCTGGAAGTGCAGGGGCGCCTGGGTGGCTCAGTTGGGTGAGTAGCTGACTCTTGATTTCGGCTCAGGTTGTGATCTCAGGGTCCTGGAATCAGCCCCACATCCAGCTCCAGGCTCAGTGGGGAGTCTGCTTGAAGATTCTCTCCCTCTCTGCCTCTCCGCACGCCACCCCCCCAACCCCACTCTCTCTCTCTCAAATAAATAAATAAATCTTAAAAAAAAAAGAAATCTGGAAGTGCCAACCTTCCGATAGTGAAGTAATATAGGCCCCTGTGTTTCTGGTCCTTTTTCTTAGGAATGTTCTAGTGGCCTTTTGTTACTTTTGATCATTTGCCCAAGCAGAGTGTAGCTTTTGAGGGCAGGGTCCTTTCTGATGAAAGTTGTGCAATTGAAAGCCAGGTTTGGTATGTAGAGTTGTATTTAGGATTAAACTTCCTAGAAAACTCCAGAAGTTTTCATTTCTGTTGCTACCCATGAGTTTTGCTCTTTATTTTCAAAGCTCAGTTTGCTGTAGTAAATACTTGCTAAAATTTATGTTAAGAAAATTAGGATGCTAGGAGTTTGTTTCTAACAGGTTTATTGGAAAGAAGGGTGTTTTATCGTGAACCTTATATTAAGAACCCCCAAATATCCAAGAGACATGCCTATGGTTAGCTTTAGACTCCTTTTTGGAGGGGCAGAAAAGGGAGGAAGCAACCACCTCCTTTCTCCATGTGGGGGTTCTCTAACCAGCCCTGAAGTTCAGGGTCCGTTTTGGATCTTTGACTGAAAAACTGGGTAGAAGACCTGCGCTTTGAACTGAAGTCTTCCCAAGCCAAGAGAGGAGACAAAGAGGGGTGTCAGGTCTCAGGAGGGCCTAGAAGTCACGCTTGTCACACGCCCCTCCCTTCCGCGAACTGCAGGTCCATTGTCCTCGTGCAGGTTCCACAGCCAGGGCCTCGGAGGCAGGAACAGCGGAGCACCCCCTTCTCCAGTGTTACCTTGAAGGCCCAATGAGCCCCAGCTGCTGCTTCAGCTTTTAAAAGGTCACGTGCTTCTCCAATCTCGGGCTTTAAAGAACTATTGTTATTTTGTTAGCTTGCCTGAGGAAAGAGGCTTCTGAGGAGCTGCTGACCAGCCGAGATCCAGGCCCAGAGACACCATTGGCTTTTTGCCCTCAGGTTCTTGAGTGGCTTGTCTTGTCTTCTTTGGACCGTGCCCTGCTCCGGGAGGTGGTCATTAACACCCGCCCTGAGGGTGAGAGTTCTCCTCTGCTGAACGTGCTCAGTGGGAACACTTGACTCAGACGATGTGTTAGGCAAACTCTGGAAAAACTTTAACCTTTAAAAAAGTGTGTAAGGGCGCCTGGGTGGCTCAGTCGTTAGGCCTCTGCCTTCGGCTCAGGTCATGGTCCCAGGGTCCTGGGATCGAGCCCCGCATTGGGCTCCCTGCTCAGCAGGAAGCCTGCTTCTCCCTCTCCCACTCCCCCTGCTTGTGTTCCCTCTCTCGCTGTGTCTCTCTCTGTCAAATAAAAAAAAAAAAAGTGTTTAAAGTCTTAAAATGTGGACTTATTATGTTGCATTTTATTCCTTTCTGTACAGATCTCGATAGAACCGGGATTACAAGTCAGGATCGTGTGCGTTTTGCAGTCTCACTGGGGGTGTGGAGCCAGTTTTGCCTCATAAAATGCTGTAGAGAAATGAAGGCAAACCTGCTTTGAGACACTCTCTCATGGCTTCCTCGGTACACATTTGAAAAGCATCCAAGCTTCGATCTGTCTATCCCGCTCACAAATTTTGCCTACAAGGGTCCTCCTCCTTCCCCTTCCAGCATTACAACATCTTATCAGGCTGTTCCTAAATCATTGGGATTATCACACAGCTATGACCAGCTGGATCATTCTAGTTGGAAATTAAATGCTTCTCACATTGAAATCTCTTCCAAAACATCGCCACCGATCTCCTTCAGCTGTGGGAGTTCTGCTAAATGCCTAGTACTTCGTGCTTGGTAAATGGTCGAGTTTTATCGATTCAGTGGTAATTTCTAGAGAAGTAATCCTTATTGAGAAAGTTATTGAGAGTCCTATTGTTTATTCTGGCAACAACTCTTTAAAAGACAACCCTATATCGATGACTTACAAGAAAAGTCTACACTGTCTTAGCTACTCCCTCTCCCCCAGAAAACCAATAAAAATCCCAAGTGGCAGTGAGCTTACTAAGTTGTGTTTAGTTGTTGTTTTTGGTTTACATTTGGGGACAGTGCTTCTCAAACTTTTTGTGATGAAGAACCATCTTATTTGTTTGTTCCTTCTTCACAGATGAATACTTCAGTAAAATATAAAAATACTAGAGAAATGAAATTAAAGTACAGAGACAAAAATAGAAGCCTCGTTTTCAAAATTAGATTTACAGCCATACAGTTACTCTGTAAGTTTGCTGTAAACGTTTCTAAATAATACAGTATCTCTAACTCTTCATGGGCCAGTAACAGTTCACAGACTGGCACCTTCTACAGACCACACTTTGAGCAACACTGTTTTAGGGTGTTGTCTGCATTTGTGTCCTCTCACACAGATGTACATGTGTTGGGTACAGTTACATTATAACCTATAACATAGACTATCTAACAACTTTATAATGAGAATTAAACGCACTCAGTGAGCTCTTTGGCAAAAGTGAAATTTTCCTAGAAATGAATGTTTAGATGCTTAAATTTTAGGCAGATACAAACAGTATAACTGTTTCAAAACACAGTCGTCCAGTAACACTTCTAAGGCATAAAGGCGAAAATGTGTTTTGTAATGTGAAATGAAATCACCTCCTCTCTGATTCACACTCAAGTTTAAATGAGCACACATACTTTAGATAGGAAATGTTCTATGCAAAGCATATAAACAAATGAGACTTTTTAGAGCACTAAACAGTAGGAGATGTTTTTGTCATGTGAAGTAGTAGATGTAAGAGTTATTACCGCCATATCTTCCTTGCCTCAGAGAACATTATGGGACTGGTCTTTGGTCCTTGTGATCGACATCCCTTTTCTTAATGTTTCCATGAGGGAAGGCATTCCATACAAGTAACTGCCCATTTATGAACATTAACAAATCCTCAAGCTGACTCTGACGTTGCTGGGTTGCGGCTGTCCTTCTCTCCCGGGGACTGAGGCTTGTGAAGGTAGTCCCTGCAGGTGGAACTCGTGTGCTCTGTGACCACCCGCATGTTTGTCTGCTGTGGGTGGGGAGGGGCAGCATGGCCTTCCTTAACAAAGTGTCGCAAGGAAGATCTGTGACGTTTTATTATGGTTAGCCTTATTCCTTTAAGATGAGACTCAATTCAAAATGATAATGAGGTGTAGGACATGATTTTCAGCCCCTTGCAGACCAGGCTTTATTCATCTGTGGGACTACCCTCTTTTCTGGCAGAGTGCTCAGGACAGCATAGATGCAGAATGAGCAAAATATAAAGGATTGAATGAGGCTCCATGAGAATCAGCTGAAGCAATTCAGTAAAAGGCAAGTCGCTTTTAGGAGAAAAATTGGATAAGTACAAACTACTTGTATATGAAGATATCAATGAGTGAGTGGCACTGAGGAGAGGATTAACACTCGCCTGTGGGTAAGTGCTGCAGAGGTGGGTGGGGGAGTGAGCACAGGCCTGGAGTAATGAGAACCACATCTCCTGGTCTGGATGGCATAAGAACAACTTTTTTGGTTAAATGGTTAGCAAGTGAGGCCTGTGAGGTGAAGGCCAGTGGGCTTGCAGTTGTTCTGTTTAGATGGTAGAAGTTCTGAAAGAAAGGACCACTCTCCAGAAGGTGTAGCCAGCTGAGGGGGTCTTCCCTGAGGCCAGAGCAGGCAAGGAGGCGCCTAGGCGGGGAGCAGGAGGTGAGGTGGGGCAGGAGTTAAAATTCAAGCCATTCCCAAATGCTCAAGGTCTGAGATACGAGGTTGTTGTTTTTTTGAAATATGTACGTATCTCTGGAATCACAGTAGGTATTTTGTTATGAAATGTCTCACGTACTCAAACAGCAGTGCTTATAATCAGAACGGATTACTTTTAAATTCGTCCACTTAAGTTCAGACCTAACTGTATGCAATTAAATTGAGCCATTGGTAACTTGGGCTGGGAAAGCCACATTCCTCCACTTTCTTCTAGGCTGAAAAGCGGTGGCAGCTCCATCACTGTGGTCATTTGACACAGGCCAAGTGCTTCACCACATGTCACCAAACAGGCAGAAAAGCTCTGTGCATAATGAGGAAGGAAAAGGCATTTTGAAAGCGCACAGGGTTCTACGAAAATTGTCCGTGCCCTCCTCCCCCCTTCTCCACCTTGGTTCTTTTCATCGTTCAAGATGTGTTCAAGCTGTAATCTCTGACACCTTTATCTGTTAGGTCATAGCATGGCAAGTGTTTTCTTGGGCGTTGAAAATAAATCTGTTTGGGGGAGGGAAATTGAACCTGCATGGTAATGTTAGGCAAGCGAAGGCAGGCGAACGCAAGTGCAGGAGTGGAGAAAGTCAAAATCATGGTTTCCATGGTAACGTTTAACTTGTCTGTGTCGTACACATTTCTCAAGAAATACATTTACCAGGCTACCTTGTGTTAAAATTGCTCCGCCAGCATACAAAGGTAGATTTCCCAATGCGCTCGCATTCTGAATCTTCCCCCAACTCCTTCATCTCTTCCACCCAGCCTTGGGCAAGGAACTGAAGTCGCAACTCCCGACCTCCGAATCAGCGTCTTTTGTAGGGTAGAAATTAGTTTTCATGCGATTAATTCCACTTCCTTCCTTTCTCCTCTGCAGATATATGTTGGGTAAAGGAGAAAAACGTAAGTTTGATGAGCATGAAGATGGGCTGGAAGGCAAAATCATGTCTCCCTCCGACGGTCCATCCAAGGTGTCTTACACCTTACAGCGCCAGACTATCTTCAACATTTCCCTTATGAAACTCTATAACCACAGGCCCCTCACCGAGCCCAGCTTGCAAAAGACCGTTCTGATCAACAACATGTTGCGGCGGATCCAGGAGGAGCTCAAGCAGGAAGGCAGCCTGAGGCCGGTGTTCGCCGCCGCCGCCGCCGCCGCCGCCTCGCCCCCGCCCCCGCCCCCGCCCCCGCCCCCGCCCCCGCCCCCGCCCGACTCGCTGAGCGACAGCTTCCGGGAGGCGCCGCCCGCCCCCAGCGCCCCCGCGCCGCCGCCGCCGCCGCCTCTGCCGCCCGCGCTCGCCGGCGACCTCGGAAGCACCACGGCCCTGGAGGTCTGCCTCACGCCCGCCTCGCTGCTCGAGGACCACGACGACGACTCGTTTTGCACTTGCCCGGCCGCGCCGCCCGCGGCTCCTGCCAGACCCTCGGCTCCAGCGCCGCCGCCGCCGCCGCCGCCGCCGGAGAAGGACAGCTTCTCCTCCGCCCTGGACGAGATCGAGGAGCTCTGCCCCACATCTACCTCCCCGGGGGCCGCGGCGGCAGCGCCCGACGGCTCCAGGGCGGGCGCGGGCGCGCCAGGCGTCCCGAGGCCCGACGACGCGAAGCTGGTGGACTCCCTGCCCGGGAACTTCGAAATCACGACGTCCACGGGCTTTCTGACGGACTTGACCCTGGACGACATCCTGTTTGCCGACATCGACACGTCCATGTATGACTTCGACCCCTGCACGTCCGCGTCGGGGACGGCCTCCAAGATGGCCCCGGTGTCGGCCGACGACCTCCTCAAGACTCTGGCCCCGTACAGCAGTCAGCCGGTGGCCCCGAGTCAGCCTTTCAAAATGGACCTCACCGAGCTGGACCACATCATGGAGGTGCTGGTCGGCTCCTAAGAGCCCCGGACCGGCGCCTGCGCCGCCCAGACCCTGCGAGTGTCCCCGCACCCCACAGCTCTCCGCACTGTGCATGCACCCTTGCTTGCCTTTTTCAGAGAAAAAGATCGTTTTACACAAGGATCACACTAGTTTTCGCTTTGAGCAGAGTTGGAGTGCCTTCATCCACGTATGACCACTTTTAACATGCTTTTTTGAGTGGTTCTCAGAGACCTACTGCCCCGGAATAGGAAAGAATACCTTGGAAGACAATGTCGCTATGCTGAATGACAAAAATAAACAGTTCAAGTGAAGCACAAGGAATAAGTTGGAAAAGCTGTAAATTGCATGTGCATATTTGTCTATTTTTTCTATAAGTTTTATTGCAAGAGGTAAAAAGAGAAAATATATATATATATTATTTAGATAATCTCAGTACCTTTTCTGGCATTTTCGCCCTGTATAGGTTGACTTGGCAATTCAGCCTTTTTAGAGGCATTAACTATTCCTCCTAAGTGTTGCATTTACATGGCTGTTTAGAAACTGCTGCCCAAATTTATTTTATATTTTTGTACAGATTCTGCAGTTTATGATATTGTTTTTCTAAAAACAAATGCTGTTTATACATATGAGATAGCTATTTTGATAGGATTTGCTCACATAGTTCCTGCAAACTTCAGATGTACAAGTTGTACTTGTACTTTTATAGAGTTGTAATGTTTTATATGTGTTTGGTGCAAAGAGAAAATTGGATCAAATTAATCCGCAGTGGATGACCCCAAATGCAAACACACACACACACACACACACACACACACACACACTGCTTTAAGAAAGGGCCAGGCGCTATCACACCCAAATTTCACAAGCACCAACCCCCTGGCATGAACACCCGCCAGCACTGTGACTTCCAAAGCCAGAGCCACGTCTGCTCATCAAACTTGCATTAAGCAGTTGGCGGGAGATGGCAGTGGAGCTGGGGGGGGGGGGGGGGGAGGAGGGGGTTGAAGTGATGGTTCTCTTTAGCTCCCTCTCTTGAGGGGAAGGCTACCGAATACTCACTGTATTTATGCCAAGTTTGTGCTTTTAATTGTTCTTATTTTTTTAAACAGAAACCCAAATCTTTCCCTTTTGGCATAATTTTTACAATTACCTGAAATTTTACACGAGAACAAAATTTTCTGAAAAGTAACCGACCTCCTCGGTTAGGGCTCACAAGGAAGAAACTACCCCAGAAGGCATCCACTGTGTTGCTCAATTGTCTTTTCCAGCTTCCCTTCCCTAGAGCCTTTGTTCCCTCTGTTGCTAAGTGCTGAAAATGGCGTCTTCATGATCACCACACTGAGCGCAGCTCACCTCGGCCCAGCCTGGGATGCTGTCTTGTAACATCCGTTCGCTCTTGAACCTGGAGTTGGTACCATTATGTCACAGCTTCCAATCTGGTTGCTTCCATGAATCAACTGCTTTAACTACACTTTACAAAGCTGATTTACCCAAATACACAGACAGGACTTTCTATGCATGTTCCTGCTTCTCCTCCACCACCACCCCCACCCACCCCCAGGACACTGTAGCTTTTTATTCCTCCTGGTGTACATTTAATTTTTAAAACATTTGTAATGTATCATGCTTGTTGCCGAAATTGTTGATGGCCTTTTCGTTTCAGTTTTTTTTCTTTCTTCCAATGGTACTCTAGCTGGTTACAACCTATATTGTTGAAATGCAGATGGCTTCTTTAGGAATAACTTTTATATTTATTTAAGAATTTTTAAATTATGGGATTTGTGTTATTGTTGTTGTCTTTGTTGTTGGTCATTTGTCAATATTCAGTCACCAATTCTGCTCACTTCTTGCCATGGATAAAATTGAGTCTTCCTGGCCAATTAAAAAAGACAGCTTTATAAAATGGCACTTTAAACAAGCCATAGATAGTTTTATTTTTATAATGCACATGGCAAAGCAAATGCATTTGTGATGAAGGAACTGCTCGTTTAAGCAAAAGATTTGTGTATGGTATGGTTAAATTTTTCTATATTTGAATTTACTTTTTCCCCCCACTTGAATGTGTTTTCGAAGGCTAATTGTCCACTCAGTAGGAGCAGTGAGAAAGAGATCAAATTGCACTTGTTCTCCTACAAGCAGCCTCCACCTGGACGCCTTTCCCTGCTGCAGATGCAGCATTTCCCTTGATAGGACCAGGGACCATCTAGTGGAGGTGAGGCCTGTTGTAGATGCTTCCGGTGTCACTGTGCCTGTCCATTTTAAGAGCTTCCTTTTCCTGTGGAGAACAAGTCAGCCCAGGCGCCGCGCTTCTGATAACCGGAGGCCCCGGCAAACTCCCCACATGCCGCCGCACACACACACACATACGTATACAGACACAATAGTGTTGATTATTCTGAACAATAACAGGGTAAGGCGGTTGATTTGCCATTGTTAAAAACTGATTTACAGTAACTTTGAACAACTGTACTTTGGTTGGATTAGCAAAATCGTGTGTTTAAACAAATCCCATATGTTGGGCAACAGTTCAAATAAGCGCAGCAAAGTGTTGCCCAAACATGGTTCTCTGACTCTCTCGTATTTGTAAGGCTGGGCTTCAAAATCAAAACAGAAACCCCCAACAACAGCAGGCAAATAAATGCTTTTTAACGCTGGACACCCTTGCCGTAAATGCTCGCTATTCAAGGTCTGCTGAGGAAGACGTGGGAAATTAGGGGCCCGTTTTTCAAAGAACAAAAACCCCAAGCGGCCACGTTACCATTGTCTTATTTTTACAAAGTGACGTCCCAACAGGGAAGAATGCGGGCCTGGGTGCGATCTCCAAGCCCCAGTCTGAGTGTGGGATGTGCTTCCAGATGCCACCTGGCTCTAGTGCCTTCCCCCTTTCTAAAGGACATCGTGTGGCATCCGGAGTCAGGCCGGCAGTTCGAGGTGCCTTTAGGAGAAAGATGTGCTGGGCGGGGCTGGGAGAGGAAAATTATCGACAGTGATGTGCAATGAAATGACAAGATGAGAGCAGAATCATAAGAGCTTTGAATTTGAAGTGATTTTTTTTCGTAAGTTATTTATTCCTTTTTTTTTTTTTCTGTGTAAATATATTTATTTTACTGTGGAGCTCTAACAACATCTGGATCGTACCATGTGCAGAATGTATGGTAGGAATGTATTCTCTTGTAGGAATGTCAGTGTGTGTTCCAAGGGGTTCCAAGCCAGACCCCTGGATCTTCTCATTGTATGCACCGTCCACATTCAGTTTTCTCCTCTTCTCTAATGTAGGTCTTTTTGAAATATGCAAAGGGTATGGATAAGGAATGTTTTAATACCTCCAAATTTTTAAGAAAATCAAGCATCAAAGGGTTGATATTTTTAAACTTTTTTTAGTAACACTTTCTCTTGATGACAGAAGGGGCAGCCCCACTGACACCCTCTTTCACACCAAAGGGTGAGAACTAGCCAGAGCCTCCGCTACACCTCGAGTGTCTTTATCAATTGAGCTTTTTATTGCCATATCCCCGTGGAGTATCCCAACTGCCCTGAGGTCAATCAAGGAAAATTTCTTAAATAAATAAGCTCCAAAGAGCCAAAGTATCATCTTACAGATCGTTTTTAAAGCTTAAATTTATTAACCACCTTTGTGGTAAACAATGAATTATGAATACCACAGGGCAGCCTTCTTAAATGACAGATGTGTTAAAAAAAAAAAAAAAAGACTCTACTTTGTGCAGCGATTGTTACCCTCTATATGAATTGTCTTAATTTCAAAACCTTGCTGTTACAAATTGGACCTTTATACCTTTTCTGAAAATATTGAAAAGAGCGTATTTAACCTGTTCTGGCTGTGAATGGTTAACTTCCTGTAACTGCCGAAGGCAGCGAGGTGTGTGCGTCCTGCTTGTATACGATTGTTCTCAGTGCTTCTAAGAATGAGTCTAAATGGTTCTTGAAAATTAGCCAGGATCACACGCTGTTGCAGACAAAACCAATAAAAATTTCGGACGTGTTTTGGGGATAACAAGCTTGGAAGAGAAGTGCAGTCCAGACAAGCAAACAAACAAGATTTTGGAAAAGATGTACATAGTGACATAGTTTGGTGCATGGTTTTTGAGGAAGGCTCTTGTCAAAAAGGAGGTGTAACCTTTCCCCCACAGACCTGAGAGCTGTGCCTTTTCTATGCAATATTACAGACGTTACATCGGAACCCAGAGAGCTGTACTCACATGTAGGTTTGGGCTGTAATCGAAACAATTGGACAGATTAAATGTACATGGAAATGAGCAGTCTTACTTTTGTAGTTTTATATTATACAATAAACAGTTAAAAGATGAGAGAGGCGTGTTTGGCGTGTTTGCAGTTTGCTTCTGCCTGGAGCACAACCAGCTCGGATGTCACGACTTGCTTGTGTGAAGGAACGGCCCACCCTCGGCCTGTTCTGGGGTTGGTGCCGTTGACCTTCTCGCACTGTGTTGGCCTCGGGAGCACCTTTTCCTCCTGGTTCTCCCCCTTGCCTCTGGGACCCTTCTCGACCTCCTGGTGCTCGCTTCTCTTCCCCAGCTCTCTCTTTCCCAGTGGGATCCAATCCACTAGGACGACGAAAACTTGTTTGCATCTCCTGTCTCTCTCCCAAGCTCTGGAGTTAAGTATCTGGCAAGCTCGGCCATCTCACACTCACCACCGTGTTTCCCCCCGGGGCCCATCCTTCCCCTTTGGGCCTCCCTCCGGTCCCAGCCACTCTGTTCCCCAGTGTCCATGCTCCCTGGCTGTCTCCTTTCCATCCCTGCCACAGCTTCCCCAACCCCGGCCCTCTTCCCTCCCCGCCTCGGACTCCTGCAGCTGCTTCCTATCTGCTGTAACTGGCACCATGGGTTCTTCAACAGCCTCGATGCTGGAGTTGACGTGACAGAGTACCAGTGGTTTGCCGTTGTGTTCCACGTCCTCCAGCAGTTCCCCTCCTTGCCCGCCCTCAGCACCGTCTTCCACGGGTTCACGGAGGACATCCTGTGCAAGCTTCCTTGGGCCATCTTTGGTGGGAGTCCTGGTCCAGGCATCTCTGGCCCGCCGTACCAGCTGGCGAGGGAATGGAGCTAGCTGTGAGGGGCCTGGGTATAATGAGGGTTCCGCTCAACCAGCAGTGGAGTATTTGGGGGGTTGGTGTTAGGGAGGGGTTAGGGGTTGAACTGTGTGCTCTAAAACTGATATTGACGTCCTAACCCCCAGTACCTCCGAATGTGACCTTAATCTGGAGATAGGGTCTTCACAGAGGTAATCAAGTTAAAATGAGGTTATTAGGGTGAGCCCTAATGCAATTTGACTAACATCCTTATAAGACGGGGAGATGCTGACACAGACAAGCACACAGGAAGAACACCATGTGAAGATGAAGGCAGAGAACAGGGTGATATGTCCATAGGCCAACAAACACCAAAGACTGCCAGCAAACCACGAGAAGCTGGGGGACAGGCACGGAGCAGATCCGTGCCCCAACCCCCCAAGCTCCCAGCAGGAACCAACTCTGCTGACACCTGGATCTCCGACTTCCGGCCTCCAGAACACCACATTTCTGTTGTTTAAGCCACTCAGTTTGTGGGGCTTTGTTACAGCAGCCGTAGCAAACTAACATAGGGGAGGAGAACAGGCAGGATGAGCTCTTTCCAGACATTGCGGTGGAAGATACTCATTAGGCAGCTAGAAATAAGAATCCGCTGCTCAGTAGAGTGGTTGGTCTCCAGAATATGAGCATCTGCTATTAATTAGAGATATAACTTTGGCAAATCATTCACTCTCTCTGTGCTTCTGAGGGCAAGATAAAGTCATAGCACCTAAACCTTTCCGAAAATGTTCACAGTGCAATGAAAATGCAAATTACGAATATTGTCTATCCTCACGCCCACAGCTGTGCCTAGCACATAGTAGGCACTCAAAAGATCTGTTGAATTAAAAGAAGAAAAAAGCCCCATAGTTCTCTTCTCTACCATTTGGGAGAAGCCCAGAGCTCAGCCTTCTTTGTCTGGGTCCCAGGCCTGCTCCTATCCCAACCCTCTGGATGCCCCATTCCCATCACACTGTGTGCCCTTGCTCATGCCCCTACTGCTTGTAGAAAATTCTACCGATCCCTCCAAGGCCAAGCTCAAGTGCCGGTCCATGAGCTTTCTCTGCATCCCCCCGAGTCGGAACCAATCTCATCCTCTGCTAGAGGGCTCTGCAAACCTCTGTAAATGCTCTCAGCAAGTCCTGCCAGGTGTTAGGTGAGCTGTGCATGGATTGTTTGCTCCACTTCCTTCTGCTGTTCTGTGACCTCGTGATGTTCATCTTTGCCAGAGGTTGGCAAACTATGGCCCTTGGGCCAAATGCTGCCGACTGCCTGTTTGTCTAAGTGAAGGTTTGTTGGAGTACGGCCACGTTTGTTCATCTGTGTGCTGTCTGTGCCCGCTGTCCTACTCCAGTGGCACAGAGACCGTAAGTCTCTCAAGATCTAAAGTATTTGGCCCTTCACAGAAAACGTTTGCCAGACCCTGATCTTTGCAAACCATATAATGCTTCGGATGGTGTCTGATCCTAGCTGGGGCCCCATAGTGAGGCTGGGCGCAGCCCCTGTGCTCGAAGGCGCGTGTAGACTGAATACAGTGCGAGTTCGGGGGCAGGAGTCTCCAGGGTACGGAGTGCTGGGGGGCGGGGGTGCTGCAAGGCCCAGAGAAGGCAGAGCAGTCCGCAAAGTCACACAAGACTGGACATCTTCTGAGAGCTAAAGATGTGGGAGGAGGCTGAGACATGAAGCTTGCAGGGAAAAGGCCCCATTTTACAGAAATGAAAGCTGACACACACAGAGAGAAAGTGATTATTGTCTAATGCAAGATCAGGGTTCAGAGTCTGGCTCTGCAACCAGACGGCCTGAGTCTGAACCCTGGCTCCACCATTTATAGCCTGTAACCTTGGGCAAGCTCCCGAATCTCTCTGTGCCTCAGCTTTCTCATCGATAAGATTGAGCTTATTTCATGCAATGGTGGGGATTCAATGAGTCCATACGTGTAAAGCACTTAGTTCTAGGATGTTAAAAAAAAAGAAGTCCACAAATGCTAGTTATAGCTTTAACACAGCAGTGGGCAAGGCTCAAATCCACGTCTCCGCTCAGTGTGGTGTTTTAGGTTGAGCCATAAAGCAAAACTGGGGCGTCTTGATGCTGAAGGCATGTTCTGTGGGGACACCACCATTTCCTAACACCGTACTTGTCGCCATGGTGGTCAGCTATTTGTTTACTGAGGACTGTGCTCCCGGCTTGTGTGGCAATCTGGGGTCTCAGAGTGCCTAATGCCTCTTTCATCTTCGCTTTCCATTTCCTTTTGCTCTTCTTGGAAAGGAAGCTTTGACTGCATCGCGAGTCATAGTCTCCAGGGTTACCACTTAACTGCGCATTCACATGGGCCAGACAGCCGTGAGTGCTGGTGTGTGTGATCTCATGGACTCTGCCCCAGCCCGTGGAGGTTTATCTTACCTCCTCCGCTTTGCCGAGGAAGGAGTCCAGGCTCAGAGAGGCTAAGGAACTTCCCAAAGCTCACACAGCTAGAAAGTGGCAGCGCTGGGATTGTGACTCTTAGAACCATAACCCCTCCGGCGCCCTCTCCTAGGGCCCATCTGCTGTGATGGCGGAGGTGGGGCCGCGGCCCGAGGCTGGTCGGGGTGAGGGAGTCGGGAGACCCGGGCCCAATCTGAGCTTTACCTCGTTCACTTGCCTGACCTCCAACAAGCCCTGCACCTCTCCGCTTCTTTACCTGGGTGTGGATCTCTCTGGCACACTGAGGCATCCCCCGGACGGACAAGAGGAAGATGGCCCCGTGAGGGCAGCCGGGAACCAGGAGTTAGGGCTGCTCTCCAGGGCTGCATACCCCCCTAGGTTCTCTCCTCCTGGCTCTCTGTGACCTTGGGCCAGCCCCTCCCCGTCCCAGAGACTCAGTGGGCTCAGTGGCCATGGAAGGGGCGGGCCTACATACACTCTGGGGACGGCGGCTCTCCCCGGCTCTCCCCGGCCGCACGTTAGAAGCCCCGGGGGCTCCAGCAGCATCTCTGGGCGCTGGCGCCAGGCCTCGCGGATTTTACGGAAACCCTGGGCGGGAGGAGCCCGCTGCTCTGAGGGCACCAGTGCCAGCCTCTGGGGCTTCGGGGAGGGCACAGGGTGTGCATGACCGGGGACGCGCACACGCCGGCATTGTCCCTGGAGCTGGGACGCCCCTCGGAGCCGCCGGCCGCCCCGGCCCCCCAGCCTGCGGCGGCCTCCCCTTGCCCCCTGCTGCACCCACCCCGCCTCCGCAGCCAGGCCGGGCGGCCAAGCCGCCAGCTGCTAGCGGGGCCTATTGTTCCGCAGGGACAGGCCAGGGCTGCCGGAGCACAGGCCCCGGAGGCTGGCGAGGGAGGGGGAGGGGTGGGGCGAGCCGCGGAAATGTCTCCCAACTGCGCCTTCCGGGCTCCCGGCCCGGCCCCCGGCCCCCCGGCTCCCGCCTCCCGCCTCCCGCCTCCCGGCCCGCGCGCCTGCGGGAGCCCCAACGCAAACACACCCATCCCCCGGCAGTCCTCGCTTGTCCTCGCAGGACATGATCCTCGCTGGACGTGCGTGTCGCCGGTTCTGTGGGTTAATGATGGACAGAGTCGGGCCGCCGCCAGAAAAGGAGTTTTGGTCACTTCTCTCCCGCCAAGTGCCTGAAAACAGTGCCAGGTGGCTGAGGGCTTTTGAAATGGTGTTGTTGGAAGGCAATGCAATCCACACGCCCGTCGCCCGTCGCCCGTCGTGGGGACGCATGCTGGGGTCTGGACGGGCTCCAGCGGCGGTGATAATCAGCCTTGTGTACAGCTCGGTGCTGTCGTGCGGTCACTTTGTTTGATTCTCATGACGATTCTGAAGGGGCTGGCAATGGGGGAATTCTGAGCGGACCTGGGGAAACTGAGGTACACAGAGGGGGCCCAAGGCTGCTAGGTGCAGTGTGCGTGTGCATGTGTGTGTTTGTGTGTGGGAGGGACGCTGTCTCAAACTCTGGACTCCAACCTTTATTACCTCCTGGCATTTCAGAGCCTAGAGGATCTGGCCCCAGACTTAAGTTACGAAGGAACAATGATCCACAGCAAGGCAGGGAGCTCGAAGTCGCACGTTGTCTTGGAGCTTCGTAACAGACTCAGGGAACCCGAAGTCATTCGGAGCTTCCATCCATCCTTTCTCTCTGAGAGCCTCCCTCCTCTACCCCCAGACTCACACCTCCGCCCCCCCCGCCCCCCCCTCCCGGGAGCTGAGGGGGCAGAAGCAGCTCAGAGAAGGTGGCCCGCAGTGGTCTTCCCCAGTTCAGTG